CTCCTCCTCCTCCTGCTTTGCGTGCTCCGGGTTCCACGGGCATGTGATGCGTGGAAGCGGAAACGAAGGGGATGGAGGAGAGAGGAGATTGTCTTGCCTTGCCTTGCCTTGCATTGCATTGCATCCGCCTCGTATCCCTGACCATCGCCCCTCAAATCGTTCCTGCCTTCATTTTCGTTGTTGCCGCAACTAGGAGGTGGACTTAGGGTGGGGTCGGTTTCCAGGGCGCATCCCTGTGGCGGCGGTGGCCTGCGGGCAGAGACATACGCTCATCCTAACCGCCGTTGGCACCGTGCACTCATGCGGGTAAGGGAAACGATGGGACGGCACCGGCAAACCACCACAAGCAGAGCAACGCACACAACACATTCGGTGAACATCTCAGTGTGGATCAGCAGCCAGCTATGGGACGATGCTGGGTGGTGCTTATATAGGTGTTGCATGTGGTGTTAGATGTGTCTTGTCTTCCCTACATAAGCATTTGTGTGCCCGACCGCGTTGGGCGAGAACTCTGGAGGGCCTATGAGAAACATGTATCGATGTCCAGGTTGTCACCATCATGAGCGTCCTTCCGAGTACTGTAATCGCATGATACGTGGGTTATTCGTCCACAGGTAGTGTCGACTTGTGACCATTGCATCGCGATATACTCCAGCCAAGCTCGAAACAAGTTTGTTTACCGTTTTGCGGAATGCTCCGATGGCGCTTGCAACAAGTTTGTTTTACCGTTTTGCGACATGCTCCAGCCAAGCTCTCGCAACAAGTTTTGTTTCCCGTTTTGCGGGATGCTCCGGTCGAACACCGGTTTATTTGACAGCCACTCGCTCCCCCCTCTACGGAGCAGGCTCGGTGACTACGGTCGCCTCGGGCACGGCAGCGAGGCCAGCCTGTCCCGCCCCACCCTCATCGAGTCCCTCGCAGGGGAGAGGATCACCCAGGTAGCCGCCGGTGAAGCCCACTCCGTGGCGGTTTCCTGGAGCGGGAAGGCTTACACTTGGGGGTGGGGATACCTAGGTATTCTCGGTCGGGGGAGCGACGCCGACGTCTTGAAGCCGACCAGGGTGGCTATCCCTCTCATCAATGCGGTTGGTGGCTCAGACGGTGGTGATGCTCGTGGCGGCGGCGTTGCTGCCGTCGAGGGCCATGTGACCTGCGCGACGGCCGGGCGATCTTGCACCGTACTCGGCACACGCCACGGTGCAGTCCTCTTCTCCGGGTTCATCACGACCATGACAAGCAATCGTTTTTGCGCGGTCTTCTCCGAGTTCGGCCGCTTGGGGGACGGGCTGCGGTGCTGGCGCGTGCAGTGCGAATGCTTGCCGGTGACGGATACCACTGTGGTGACGGCGATCGATCCCGCCGGGCAAGTGTACGAGGTGCAGCCCAGAAACGGGGTTGCCTTGGGTGGGAACAGCAGCAGCAGGTACGGGAACCCGTCGGAACAAAGGGTACCGTTGTCGGCGAACTACGCCCCTTGCTCCTCAGTCATCCTGTCGCCCTTCGACGACGAACGTGGCCAGTGCTGGTTGGAGACCGGGGGCGAAGTTGAGGAGCCGGGGTGGGGCATGAACCTTAGTTTTGGCATGGTTGGAGTGTCAAGGGATGGGCGGCTGCTGTTTGACAGCGACGAGGACGATGCCGGCAAGGAGAGAAGCGCCGGGGTGGTTCATGCGTCTGCCCGGATCGGTGGCAGCTGTGAGGTCAGCCACGGGCTAAGGATGGAGGACGGGGGCACGTGCGTGCTCACCTGGGGGGACGGCAGAACGGGACATGTGAGTGGTCGTGGGTGTGAAAGTCGTCGATGATGGGAGTTGCTAGACGATGCCCGATGTTTTTTTGTGGGTAGCCTCCTTAAGACTGGGGATTTGCAACCCTGTGTGTGTTGGGTACAAAGGCGCCAACAACAACCTCAGATAACACGACCCTGACCCTGACCCTGACCCTGACCGTGTGTGTGTGTTTGATTTTCTTTCGGAATAAGGGAAACACATCATTCTCGCGATGGAATGGACCGCGAATCAATGGCCAAGACTTCATAATCGGTTTTGATTGAAGAAACAGAAATGCCTCCTTTGCTTTGCCGTGGTCATACCCCCGATGTGTGCCCCGATGTGTGCTCCGTTCGGAAGAAGCCGTCCTGCATTTGGGGGGAGACGAACGCTATGCCCAAAACTTTTCGGAGGCGACTTAAAGAAGCGCACATCTGCCCCACCCCTCCGCCACCCCATTAGTTCATTCCACGGAGACCACAAGGCCCGCAGCATGCCCCTTGTTCTAACCTAGGTAAATTTAGCGATTACACGTCCCAACCCTGTTAGCATGCGTGCGCCATGGATAACGGATCGCCCTCTCTGATCGTACAATAACCCTGACCCAAACCCTATCCCACTTCGACCCCCCGTACCATCCCGCCGTTCCCTTGGACCCCCCCCCCCC